AGAAGGCCTTGAGTGGTGCAGGTGCGCTTTATCTTCCACTGTGCTCTGAGCCAAAAAAGCTGTATGTGGCGAGCTTTTAGTACAATCTCAGCACACGTGACCAGCTTTCATCTTTAAAGTTTAATATGATTGTGTTCAAAACACCCTGTGTGTTGTGAGATAAATACAATATTTCTAAAATATGTGACCTAAAATAGAGTTTCTATTAGATCTATATTCATGTGTTTTACTTTTTACTTTGACAAATAAAATAACCTTCCTTTAATATAACTGCGGTGCCTAACTACACCCCTCCCCTCTAGCAGTCTGGTGCTCAGGTCAACTTCTTGCTAGCTACACATGTTTCTCTTGGCTGTAGCTACTTCTTACTGCTTCTCTGTATCGTCTCAACAGCACACAGGGGTTAAAATTCCGCTGTAACTGTTCTTGAGCCTGATTCTTCTTCTTGACACACACCTCTCGCAAAGTGGAGATACTTATAAGATACTCAGAAAAGGAAAGGTTTCACATAAAAGTGGATGAAAAATGATTAACAGAAGTAAAATATTTGAACAGACCAAACTAAATAAATAAAATGGAAGGAATGGAAAAGGGTAAATGTCAGAGGAAAAATTGTATATAATGTGATCAGCTTCATGAGATGTGCCCTTTTTACTGATCACTAAGCAATCTACATGTCTACGTGACTTTTCACCTAATAACTTTTGTGATGATGAACTAAGGAAGCGGTTAGTAGCTGAATGTCTTCAGAGAACATTCAGATGTAGAGAAGGGAAAAACCCGTTGCTCTGAGCGTTGTTATCTTTGTACACACACACACACAGAAAAGTATAAATAAAGCACGCAGACAGTGATGAGACGCAGGTCGTGCATCCATGACTGCCCTCGCGAGTGAAAGACAACTGCAGTGTTTGTGTTTTCTAACTCAGGTATCTCAAGCTGAAGAACTGCGGGGTGATTCTTAGAAATCCCCTGTCAGTAAAGGACAAGAAATAGATTTTTCTGACATCCAGCAACCATTGAATTACTAGTTATTAATTCATTTATACAGCGCCTTTCTAGTCCCTGTCAGTACTCTTGCTGCAGCATTTTGGATTAACTGAAGGCTTTTCAGGGAGTTAGGACATCCTGGTAATAATGAATTACAGTAGTCCAGCCTAAAAGTAATAAATGCATGAACTAGTTTTTTGGCATGACTCTGAGACAGAATGGAAGAAAGCAGTCCTACATAATTGTTACATGTTATATGCTGTAATTATATAAGCAACAAGTAGTGATCAATGAAATTGCAATCTGCAGTTACAACAACAAAATCTAATCAACCATTAATTTAATCTAAGACAAATCTGTTTTACCCTGCTCTACTCACAACCACCATTAGAATCTTTGAAGCATAGGTATGGGCTCAAAATGTGGTCATAAATATTTTGTACTTGTAAATAAGTTTGGTACTTGTAAATCAGGATTTGTATGTGTAAAAAGAATTTGTGTGTGTGTAAAAAAGATTTGTATGTGTAAAAAGAATTTGTATGTGCTGTTAAATCCTCCCAATTCTTTCAATCTTTGGGCTGAAGGAAGGACAATACTCGGTGTATAAATGCTTAATCAACAATCTTTTATTCCATGCAATTCAACACTTTATGAGCATAAACCATCCGGATGGAGCCATGCATGCAGAGGGTCACAGCAAGTCTCAAAATGGTGACTCAACCTCTTATAGCTTCTGTTGGCCCCCACCTAGTCGTAAAAACCCAAACATTCACATTCTTTCTCTCTCTCAGTGAGCCTAAGTTATGACCTTGGCTTCCTGTGCAGTATGTTCTGTTCTTTTCTAATCAGACAAATAAGGCCATGACTCTCTGAAAACAGTATTTCTTATAATTCAGCAGTATAATGCATCATAAAACAATATCATTCATTTTTCTTCCTTTCATCTGATTGATCAATGTCATGTCAATCACAAATGTAACAATCCAATCAGAGAACAGATGGGTTTGGCTGTCGGAGGGGCGCTTTTTTGAACTGCAGGTCCTTGAAGGGTAATACAGTTTGAACCTGGAGGATCTCTATATAAATATTCGATAGCAGCTAGGTCGCTTAACTTTCAGCAGCTATTGAAAGGATAAAGTTGTGGCATATCAGTGGTTAGAAATACCATTATTTCTGGGGGTTTTTTTGCTAGTTCTTCAAATGTTCAATAAAAACATGTATGCTAATTCATAACGAAGAAAGCTTTGTAGTGAAGACTGTCATTTCCAAAACACTACCCCAAAACTACCCTACCTACCTACTACCCAAAATATTTATGACCACATTTTGAGCCCATACCATGGCAACATTTTTTTTTTTCCTTTCTTAGTGACATGACTTTCAGATACTCCTCCTGTGATGTAGAGAGTATTTTAGGCCTACAGCATCTTCTTCACCTTGATGGCATAAAGTGCTATTTTATGTTAGTCAAACTGTAACTACAGGCCAATCTCCAAACTCCCTTTTATTTCCAAAATATTGGAAAAGGTAGTTCTAAAACAACTTCAGGCGTTTTTAGATGCAAATGGTATTAATGAAAAGTTTCAGTCTGGTTTTAAACCTCGCCACAGCACAGAGACAGCCTTACTTAGAGTTTTTAACGATCTTCTTTTAACTGTTGACTCTGGCTATTCCGTGGTTTTAGTTTTACTTGACTTGTCTGCTGCTTTTGACACGGTTAACCACAACATTCTTTTATCAAGATTGGAACATGTTGTTGGTCTCAAAGGTACGGTTTTAACTTGGTTTAAATCCTACCTCTCAGAGAGGTCGTTCTCTGTTGCTATGGGGCAACACTCCTCGGCCTCTGCCCCTATTTATTGTGTTTATTGTGGTGTGGTTACAGGAGTGATACATCTCCTGTTGTCAGGCCTGCAGGTATCAGGCTGTTGTTCTCCTTTTATCTCATAGTGGACAGAAATTATTTTTTTGGAGTGGCACAAATAATTTGTGTGGCATCAAATTTGATGCAGAACAGCTGATTGTTCTGTAAATATTTTGAAATGTTTGTTTAAAAAACCACATTGGCTGCATTTTTAGGTAAAGAGCTGCAAAAAACATTGTTGTTTGCAAAACTCAGTAACTTTTTTGAAGAAGTAACTATATAATTAATTGCCCAACATTGGTCATTATATGGTGTATTTTGCAGACAGAGAGTTACAGGACTCTCTCCCAGACCACAGACACATAATACAAGTCAGATCTTTATTTAAAAAAGAAAAAAAAAGAAAGTGTTTTCAAAATTGGAGTTCAAGTTATTTTTACTTCCAATAGTGTTAACATACTACACAGGTCATGAACAAGATTTTTTTTTAATTTTTATTGTAAGTGGGCTAAAGCAGTTAATTAAAAGTAGTCTAACAGAAATGTAAATGCTGTAACTTTATTATTTTAATAAACCATGTAACTTGGATGGATTCGACGCTGGAGTGACCACAGTACACACGTCTAATGTCGTTCACAGTGGTCCACAAGATTGCTCAGGGAGTTTGTGTGTTTGCTCAGACACATGAAAAATTAGAGGGAACATTGGTCACCCACTAATTGCTCTAATGCTGGGCTTACACTGTGTGATTTTTGGCCCATTTTGAGCCGATTTTTGAGTTGTGCGACCGTTTTGGCGATCGGCCCGATTTTGGCCTTCTAATGTCACATAACTTTTCCAACATGTGGCCAACAGTAATGTTTTAATGTTCTTCATTATTAAACATTTGCACATAAATAAGTGACATAATATTCAGTACTTAAAGTTTACTCTTTGGGCACCCCTCCGCGCTATGCATTCTGGGATATGTTGGGCCATAAAGTCTACACTGCCACGTCCTTGAAATTCAGGGAAATGAAGGACGCATTTCGAGCAGCCTTCGAATTGGGACACCCCTCGTCGTGTCGCTGTGACGTAATCGGCCTTAAAATGCGGCCTTTAAGGCTGCAGACCCTGAATTAGGATACAGCCATAGTCTATTACTCGTCCACACATAAACACAAAAAAAGGAGTTTTAAAAGATCTCAGTTTCACAACATTTTTCTTGTAAAACAAAGGGGGGCCCAGCAAAAAAAGTTTGGGAACCACTGCTCTAAGCGATAGATTTGTGTGGAGAAAGCCAGATTTGAAGTTTATGCTTTTATTTTGAAGGGAGGTCTTATAAAGCGGAAGTCCGTTCCGCCTGCACGAGACGTCACACTAAACAGGGACAGTTTTTATTTGGACCCAAGATAAGAAAGCGGAGTACAACACAGACGCAGTCAAAGCTGTTGGCTACGCATTTATTACGAACGGTATGTAACGGGAGCTCTTACTAAACACAGAGCGACATGTTTTTAATCTCAGTGGATGTGTGTACGCCGTTAGTCGTTTCAGGCTTAGCTAGAAGCTAACATCACTTAAGCTAGTAAAAGCAGCCTGTAAAAATTGCAGCAGCTACTGTTTGGAGAAACAGTTGGATAGCCGTGCTGCCATGTTTCATGCAGAGGAGTTTGAGCTTGGGATAATACTCTTAGCATCCATATGAAAAAGATCTGTTTGTATCATAAATGCTGCAAAATGTAGGCCGCATGTGCATGTTCTCTTAGATGGTATACAGTAATACAGTTTAAAAACACTTTTCTGATATAAACTTTGTTAAACAAAAACATAAGAAGAGACTTGTATAGATATACATATGTATATGAGTGTGTATACCTGTGTACAGGAAAAGCAAAGGCCTAATTGCAAACAGGGGGATTCCCAGGATTTTTAAAATGGGGTGGCACAGACCTCCCCTAAACCTAACCCACCCACAAGATATAGATAAGATAATAAAAACAGCACGACAAGGTTTTAGTAATAAAAAATAATTTGTTAGGTTTAATTGTTTAAAAAAGCACCTGGTCAGGTTTTGATAACCAAAATAGCAAGTGATGTACAGATAGCAATTTTCTCTCTCATCATTTTAAAGTGATTTTTTTTTTACTTACAAGAAAGAGATACAGATATTTAAATGAAGATTAGCTTGTGTACACCCACTTTTTACCACACATTTTGAAACAAATTTACTCCACTTTCCAGCATGTTTAAAGCATTAACAGATCAGGGCATTTACCCTTCTCCATAATTTTCTTTCCAACTACTTTGATCCTTTCCTAATACTGAGGCTGTTGGCTTGTTACTTGATATGTTATTACACATCTATGTAGGTGTGTGGAAACGATTGAGCAGTAGCAATTAATGAGTAATTACTCTGTAACTTATCATTTTAACATATAACCTTTCTCTTACTAGTCACCTTGGCCAATGTGTGATGTAGAGGAATAAGAGTATAGCTTGAAGAAACTTTAATTAACTCCTATTTAACATGTTAGCAATGATATTCTGCACTGAGAAGAGTCATGAAGGCAGATCCATTAGCGCTTACTGGATTTGATAACACAGGCAAGTTCCGCATGTAAGTTAACAGACTTTTCATTTTACAACTGTAATCTAAAGGTCTGATTCAACTTACTTTTGGCTCAGTAATATTCTTTCATCTGTAACGTAGATGTATTGCAAAGACTTCTCAGAGTAGTCCCTGCACATAAGTTCAATAATTTACATATAGAGAGTTATTTTTCAAAGCAAATACATGTAATTTAATTTCAAAAATGGATAAATATCATGAAAATTTAATTCAGATGAAAAATAAATAAAGGGAGAGGTGGTGTAGTTGGAGAGACAATGCTGTCTGTTATTGAGTTGGGCTGTAGTTACGTGGATTTGTATGCCTCAGCACACCTGGACCATCATGAGCCACCAAACCCGAGCTCAAGCTAACAGCTAAAAAACCCAACTGAGCGATCCAGAGAGAAAAGCAGCTGCAGGCAGCCTTTAGCTCCTAGGTCAGCTGCAGATACTGTGCTTTACTTCTTCTTGATTTGGAAAACAGACTAAAGTGCTACATTGTGAAAAACTGAATTGAAACATGATGTACATAGTGCTGAGTTATGCAGAACTGAATTTTAGAAGACACAACGAGTAGGAATGGGTTAATATTTTGTTTAATTATTAAACCAAGAACTTGTTAGGAAATATGGCTTTTTGAAAAGGTCACTTAGATGCAGCTTTGTGTCTCTATAGTTTACATTTTGAGTAAAGGTGTTATTTTGTCCAATGAAAAAGTTTGTTTGGACACAGTTTAATTTTTTTATTTTCGGCAGCAGGAAGCTGGATTGAGTCTGTGGGCTGTATTTCACTCTCTGTGCTCTAGTTTCAAGTTATTGACTTGAGGCACTTTTAGTCTAGAGTTGTATTTCCTGCATTTCTAAGAATCATTTTATTTAATTTTAGAAGTTGTGCATGGTGTGTAGCATACGAGCACAAAATGTTAAGATGTTAAATACCTGCTAGATAATATCTGGTAATGTTATTTTGTAGCTTTTGTACTACTAGTATTATTGCTGTTGTTTTTGTTTGTTTGTTGTTGTTGTTTTTTTACTGCTCCTGAAACATCTTGTGAAATTGTTCAAGTCCTCTATCTTGTAGGCTGTCTGGAAGCATTTTTGTTCTATCCCAGACACACACATTCATTTTTATTTATTTATTTTTAACCATTTTTAATATTCTCATTCAAATATATAATTTTTCATGAAGCTGGTAATCTCATCTCTCATCGAATGGATACTGGGACATTTTCCTGCACACAAACTTCACAGAGAGGAAGGAGATGGACATGTTTTACCACACCACAAAGTAAAGCTGGATTTACGGTCTGTCCGTACTGCATGTCAGATACCAGATTGGTTTGGCTTTCTCAGGCTGCAAGACAAGGTCATCTGATGAAAATATGTGGACTGACTGAAGATGAGCCAAAAGCATGTTTTTTTTCTTGCTAACCTTAATATTTTCTTTGTTTTTATTTAAAAAATTTTTGCATTACCACTTGCATTGCCTACCAGATCAACAAGGAGTGTATCGTTTGTTTTTCTTTGAGAAGTAATGTCTGGATAGAATTTTTATTGAAGATATACTTTTGCAATCTTTTTAGATAATACAGTCAAAGGTTGGGTAATATTTTCAAATTTTCTAAATGGCATCAGCATTTAAATACCTCAATGTTGATACACAACTTAGATTATAAGTGTACATACATTCATGGACAGAAATGTCAAATCAATATCACGCTGTCAGTAATTTATGAGAAATGTAATTTTTTTTCTGGGGCTGAATGGCTGCATAACGTATATCTTTCATAGTAAAACAGTCAAGAATTTGGTGCCAAATATTTTGTTTATATTTGGGGTTTTCTGAAATGTGACAGTATACCTGCTTACATTTTAGTAGCAGTGAAAGTTTGAAAAATTCTGAACTTGTCAAGGCCAAGGTTATGATTGTGTCAGAAAGGTTTGGTTCACAGCACTCATTGGTAGAAGCTAATACACAGTAAAATGGGGAATTCCCAGGACATCACTGGAGATCTGAAGAGGATTATAGAAGTACACAAGTGGGAAATGTGTCTGAGCCCTTTCTAAACCATTGCAGATTCTGGCATCATCAGATGGAATGGAATAGAATAGAATAGATTCAATTATTTAAGTCATTGGGAACTGTACATACTTTGTTAAGATTTGAAAAAGACCCGAAGGACACCATAAAAAGTTGGTTTGAAGAGTCAAAAACCACCAAAGCACAGCTCTGCCATGGATTGGGAGCTGACAGAAGATCATTGCTGAGCAAGTTTTGCATCACCATTGACCGAGAGGCTGCCTCTGAAGAGAAAAACCACTGCAACAAAATCAATACTTTTAAAATCAGTTAATGTTGACAACCTACCAAAAAGACAAAGTAGACTTTGAGAGATTGTTTTTATGAACAAGCATTGAGCTGTTGCTGCCAGTGAAGCTGGTACATCGAATTAGAGTGGATATAATAATGAAAGAAACAGACTACTGAAGAATTCTTTAGCAACTCCCCAAACCATTGTGCAAAGTTTCGACAAAATCAGATATGTCAATAGGGCTAGTTTTGGAACAGGCTAGCTACTAAGCTTTTGGAATGGCCTTTTCAAAGTCCTGAGATTCAGCTGATAACAGAAATTATGTGGACTATACTTGAAAGTCAGATTTTTGCCAGGGAAGAAATTATTTCAAACAAAGTGGTAATATTTGCAAACAGAATGATCCTACGAAAGCATAGGTATTCTGAATGTACATGTAAGAAAACCTTATATAAATTCAATTTTGCGCACAGATTATTTTTTTTTACTCTTAAAAATGTACGTTGCACAGTCATTCTGCCCCAAAAAAGCTCAGTTCAAATTATTCAGTGATTTATAATGATGTTCTCTAAAGTACAAATTGGTTTTTAAAATTTTGGAAGCAAACCGCCGGGGCAAGGAAAAAAAAGAAGTTGCCCGCAATTTTTTTTCTATTTTCTGACCTTGTTTTCTCTTTTTATCTGACCTTTGATGTTTGCTTCCTCTGTTTATTTCTAGTAGTAAAGATCCTGATATTGTAATGATAAATTTATATTTGGCAGGAAGCAACAGAGCGAACAAATCCAGACAAGACCTTCCAGATGGATTTCACCCATCCAGGAAGCTGAAGCCCACACCAGTTCAAAAACTTTTTTTTTTTAAAATTTCTCAGTTTTGTAATTGCTATTGAAGATTTCCCTTCTCCCGCACCCAGGATCACCATCAAACCACATACTTGAAGTTCTCTAAAGGATCTCTCTACACACAAGACTTCGTGATTATGGTTGCCTGACTGAATGGTCACTTTGTATTTTGCACGAGCTCCACATTGACAATGACCTCCAGCATACCTACTTTGTAAAAAACCAAAAGAAAACAACCAAACACCCATTCCATTGACTGCTGTGGCCATCCTTGACTTTCGGAACCATGTCCCATCCCCTTCATAACCCCTATAATTTTGGGATAGAAAGTTCTGCGCAGTGTCGAAATGCGCTTAGCTCTTCTGGAGCAGCCTCTGGAACTTCTGACACTACGTTGGGAACAATTCCTTCACTGCGTGCTTTTCCAGTGAGCTACAACCCCCCACAGAGTAGTTCTATTTTAGATGGAGGCATGAAGAGATCTACAGAAATGTATCTTGGTCAAGCCAGGACAGAGATGAGACAGCAGCCTGTTAACCAGGCCCCTTGCTTTACCGGAACTCAAGAAGACAAGTTTATTTCTTCAACTGCAACGGTTGCCTCCAGTCCAGTGTGCTCAGCATCTCAAAGACACTCTGATTTTAAAAGTGGGACTTGCTCCTTGGACTGGTCAATCTATAAGAAAGCCACTGAAAATGATTCTTCTAGATTTTTTTCATCATCTACTTCACTGAGCTTTCAAGGCAGTGGTGAAAGAGAACAGGATATGCAGTCCATTCCAGGCTTAGGTGATTCTGACTATCGAATGCAAGACAAACCTGTGCTCCCTACTGATTCCAGTTACCCAAAGTACTCTTCACAAGAAGCTTCTAACATCCTTTTACGTTTTGGACTTGAAAAAGATGACTTGGAATATCTGATCTCCTACCCTGAAGACCAGATAACCCCTGGCAATCTGCCTTTTATCTTAAGGCAAATCCGCATGAAGAAGGCTGAGAATGTTAAACATATTGTTCATTCAAAACCCTGTCCTGAACCTCAACCCACCCCCAGCATGACCGTAATGGACAGGTTCAGAAGGGAAGGGATGCAACAGGGCGAATTGGCACAGATTATCAAACCAAGTAAAGTGATTGACTATGGACATACTAGCAAATACGCTGGAGGGTTTGGCAGTGATATAGGAAAGAGCAGTGAAAGTAGAGCTAACAGTAGTGAGAGTGGCAGTATGTTGCTTATGGACACTTGTGATGGTGACAGTTGCAATAGAGAACCACTGCAAGAAGGTACGGCAGAGGTGAAAACAAGCACCTTGGTTTCTTCTCATGACCATCGGGGTACTGTTTCCACTAAGAGTTCAATGCAGAGCTATGAGCCTCCTCCAAGCAGGAATCTAACTCAACGATTGCTGACTCAGCCACACCAGGCATCTCAAGAAATCATCAGCTCTTTCTCTCTGCCAAAGAAAGACACAGACTTAAGACTTCTCAAATTCAAACCAGTTCCTTTGAAAGAACCAGAGCCAGATTGCCATTTGGCATTAAAAATCCAACCACCTCTCAGTCATATTGCTCGTGGTGTGCATCATGATCAACCTGGGCTTGTGCTCATCGGCAATAAGGATAACAGCTGCACCAAGGATCAAAGTAAAAGTCAACAACAAGCGCCAAAGGTTGCTAAGCCCATAAACAATCAGAAGATGCACCAAAGGCAGATGCAGCAGGAGCTAAAGAAACAGGCGCAGAAGCAGCAGCAGCAGGACCAGAAGCAACCACCAGTGCAGATGGGACAATGCCAGTCTGCAAAACCAGCTACTCCCCTAGCACCTCAGATAATTCCTAAACCAGTGAACTTCGTTTATATGCCGCTGCCACTTTCCAGCAAGCAGTGTCGTGCAGACAGGGAGCTATCAAAGGTTCTGCCAGCGTTGGCCATGATGCAAGACTATGCTGCAGCCACACCACAAACCTTTCCACATACCTGTTCTCTGTGTTTGCAAAAATGTACTGGTATGAAGGTGAGTGGAAGACTGTACTCTCTTCTGTCTCCATTTAGAACATTACGGGTATTTATTTCTGTCTGTCATTTTGGTTAATTTTAAAAAGAACCAAAAAACCAACATTAATTTGTGAAACAACCTCCTTGCTTCCAAACTTTACGACTGCATTTTTAAAGCTTTTTTAAATGTAAATTTCTGTAGCATATTCTTCTGATCTGTTATTTAAGTCTTTCCACCTTGGACACATACTAGAAATAAGACTTATGAAGTAAATGATTTCTGTCATATTTCAGTCTAGAAGAAAATGACTGGGTGTGGATCAGTCTGCTCATATAGCTTACTAGAGCTGCCTCTTGAAAAAACTGGAACATTTTCTAATGATTCTCAAACAACATCTTTATTCATATATGTTGACATGTCAAAACATGTCACTTAGGGCACAAGGGAGATTGCCAGATGTTGTATTTATGGGGAAAATAGTTAAGATTGGATTATCCGAGCTGCGTTAGTCTCTGAAAGTAATTCATAGTTATCCTTTTTCTAATTTAATTTAACAATAATGGCAAATTGGAAGTTTCTGCCCAACAAAAAGAAAACGATAAGTGAAGATGAAGAGTCTGCAAATCTGAGGAACATGAGCATCAGAAAGATGACTTTTCCCCCTAATTCATATTTAGTTTACAGCCATCCACTTTAGAACAGTTACTGTCTTTAGAAGAGTAGCAGTCATCTTGCAGTGACAGTCATTGGTTGAGATTGTGAAGCAAAATTAAGATGTTCTATAGTATGCTGCAAAAGTCTTGAGCCCCTTGCATTTCCTTTCCAAGGATCCAGAGATGCAATTGTTATTGCAAATAGTATTGAGCAATAGTTCTCCAGGCTTTATGAAGGACTTTCAAAGATTGTCTTTGGACATTGGCTGCTTTTTCACTCATTTCATTCCAGTTCTTGTACCAAACAATTTTCAGAGGAATGTTTTTTGTTTGTTTGTTAAACCAGTTAACACTGATCTATGAATGATTCAACCAATAAAAAAATCCAGCAAGCCCACAGGTTGAACCACTAGCGTGTCTACACAAAACCGATAACTAGGCAACTAATTCTTTTTAAATTGTATTTTTATGCACTTTGTCAGCTTGTTGCAGAAATACATTTTTAGTTAAATCTATGTAAATTGCCAAAGATAACACTTTCTGACCACTGCAGAAAGTGTAGTGGTTTTGCACCAAAAAGATGATTCCAAAAGAGCTATTAGCCAAAACCTTAGCATGTGTCCTTAAAATATTTTGAGGAAGCTGGACAAGTGCAAGAAAAGAGAAGTGACAGTGTTGAAAAACTATTTAAAGCAGATAAACAGTACCTGAAAGTCATGTCCTTCAGAGACAGGGAAAAAAAGACCTGCAACATGCATGTGGCCCTTCAGTTGAACAATCTCCTGTTCACTGAAGCCTCATCATGGTCTCAGTGGAAGGGCAGCTGTCAAGAACCTTTTTTAATAACATCTGGTGGTCAGAGGGCCCGGTGGCGCCAGTGTCCGGCAGCCTTGCCTCTGTCAGTGCGCCCCGGGGTGGCTGTGGCTACAATGTAGCTTGCCATCAACAGTGTGTGAATGGGTGAATGACTGAATGTAGTGTAAAGCGCTTTGGGGTCCTTAGGGACTAAGTAAAGCGCTATACAAATGCAGGCCATTTAAAAATTTACCATTCCAAATATTGGTATCCAAATGTTATTAAAAACTCTGTCTTGCCCTCATAAAGTTTATTTCTATATTGCTTGCAGACTTTCAGTGAGTCATTGTAGTTACTTCCTGTTTTAGTATAAATAAACAAGGGGTTCAAGACTTTGGCATACTACTGTGCTATAAAATGAAAATCCCCAATGCAAGACCTTTAGAAAAAGGGGGATGGGTCTTCTTCTTTGACTGCCCAAACACCAATTACAGGTGTTTTTTTTTGTTTTTGTTTTGTTTGTTTTTTTCCCCCCATCTCCATCCAGACCTGACCTCTGCTGAAATGACGTCAAACCTCAGGACTCATTTTTATTGACACATTCACACATAGGACAGAAGAGACCTATGTTGCAGAATCAAGAGTCCTGCAAGACTTTTTACATTTCTGTATTTGTTTTGTTTTGTTACTAAATCCATGACTGTGGTCTTCCATGCCATCCTATTTGGTGTCGTTTATAAATATGCTAAATTATTCAATCTTTAAGGATTTTGTCTTTATAGATTTATCATACTTGTATGTACATTTATTGCTTTCCACTATGGCTTATGAACAGTCAGCTGATGTCCAGACTTTGAAAGAAGTCTAAAGGCTGCTGTGAGCGTTAAGTACATTGGTTGTCAGATGGTTAGAAAAAATGTCACCCGAGCGGTTGTGGTTAATAATACTTTTGCTATGACAATGAGGCCTATCTAAAATGTTTGTTCTGACTACTAGGAATGGCTCCTTCACCAGAATACCAGCTTTCACCTTGACAACTGCAAACTTCTTCGGAAACGGTCAGTCTTTTCTTCTTTTAACTTTCTCTTTAACTGGGGATATCTGAACACGTTTTGGCCTAACGTTTCAGTGGATTACTGAACAGAATGAGTGGTTGTAACGTTATAAAGTCTTTCGTAGCATTGTTCCTGATGCTTTGGAGTTAGTTGTTTAGATGGGTAGTATATCCTCTATAGCAGTGGTCCCCAACCTTTTTTGTGCCACGGACCGGTTTATGCCCGACAATATTTTCACGGACCGGCCTTTAAGGTGTCGCGCATAAATACAACAAAATAAAACAAGTACCAGTACCGAAAAAAAAGAGGATTTATTCATAACACACGTGAAAAGACCCAGGAAAACAGAGTTAATGATAAAAACGACAACAAAATAACGCTAAAAACCCTGAAAATCATACATTTCACATCCAAGCCTCAACTCTTGTGGCCCGGGGGTTGGGGACAGCTTGTTGAAGAGGTAATCAAAATCAGTTTTAAAAATTGTAAGATGAGCTACTTTTCTCAAGCAACATTGTTAATAGGGTTGATCTCCCAGGGTTAATCGGTCCCTCGAGAAATCATGCTTTAAGATTGATTTGTAGTTGCAGAAATCTACATTTTTAAAACATTTGCTGTTTTAATAGATTTTTGATTTCCCTTATATTGTTTTTGTTTTTTGTTTTTGTTTTTTTTTGACAGATATCCACAGTGGGATGGTAAAGTACTGACGTACCAAAGGTAAAAGTCTTTGTCTTTTGGGAAATTAAAAGTACAGCAGCTTTGCAGGGTTTTGTTTGTTTGTTTGTTTGTTTTTTACAGTTATTTATAGTTGTTTTTGTTTTTTTAAACCTCTGTTGCTCTTATTAGTGCTTCAAATACAGGAAAGAAGTCCTCGTCCTCCACCTCTGGCAAAACTTCCCAGCATCGTCATCAGAAAACCAGGCGTGAGAGTCATTCCCGTTCTCGCTCACACAGCCCACGTCGCCGCCTTGGTTTGGATGACAGAAGGCCTAAACATGGAAGCTATTTATGCTCTCGCTCAAAGAGCCCTCACCATCACTACAGCTCTGGGGAGAGAAGAGAGAAACTCAGTAGTGGATCACAATCGCCAAACAGCTCCAGACGTGCTCGCAGGTCCGATTTAAAAAAAAATAAAAATAAATAAATAAAAGATTTCCATTCCAGTGAATTGTATCATGGCATCAGCGTTAGGTTTGACCTTTTTATCCTTACTGGATTTGTAATAGAAATATTTCTTTGAGGTATTTGATTGGCAGTTTTGAAAATGTCCTTATTGAAAGAATCGAAAAGGGTCAAGAGCAGCAAAAAGGCATGTTGGACACAGTTCATGCCACAAATGTTCCACCCAAACCTAAAGCTTCAGAAAATAAGCCTGATGAGACCTTCAAGACTCCCAAAAGTGATACAAATGTTCAAGAATCTGCAGTTATGCTGGAAGACAGAGCAAGAAATGTGTCTGCTTCTGAAATGAAGCAGCAGACAGAATTAGCCAAAGCTGAGACAAAAGAGGCCAGTCATACTGAACCACTTTTTGAAAAAAATGTTTGATTCATACTTTCTAGGTCCCGGTCTCGTTCCTTCTCCCCACGGAAGGACTATCTTGCCTCCTTGCGTTATCAATCACATTCAAGGAGCCGTGAAAGACGATCCTCACCGGGAAGGAGAGATGGGAAACAGTTACTACAAAAGAGGAGTGATGAAAGACGATTGCTGACAAGGAGACAAGATGATAAGCGTTTGCTGCTGAGCAGAAGTCATAAGAGCTCATCATCAGAAAAGAGGCCTCAACAAAAGAAGTTGGACAGCAGTACAAAAAGACTTGCTAAACAGCTGCTGGAAACCACAGGTTTGGAAGTCTGCACATACATATAACTTAAAATATACTCATAATTAATACATTTCTCCCACTTCCAAATGTATGTTTTCATTGTCAAACATGAACAAATTCAGTATACTGCTGTGGAGTATAGTGAAAATGTTCTATATATATATGTATGTATGTATGTAACTTTGTGTGATCCATAGCGACTAAGTAAAGCGCTATACAAATACAGGCCATTTACCATTTAACTTTAAAAAATAAGTAACCACTCAAATTACAGAAATTTCACCTCTGTTTTTTTTTTTTTTTTTTTCTTTTCATAAAACGCTCCAACTGACAGGATAACCTTCTCTGTTTAGACATATGAACCACCAAAGTGTGACTCTTTTTCCATCTTTGTCCTTCTAGGTCTCCACTCTTTGTCAAAAAAGTCTGACCTGGAGGCCATAGCTGAAACAATTGCTCCTGTCATACTGGCTGAGCTAGCCAAGATGAAGTCACCATTAACATCATTATCATCCTCTGCTTCTACATCATCCTCCTCCTCCTCAAAGAAGGCGAAGACCACCAAGTCATCTGAAAGTAAACCTGGACTTCATAAGAGTGAAGCAAGTACCTCTTCAAAGCCTAAGGTTGGTGTGTTTGCCAAATGTTAAGGAGTGCTAAGTAATATAGTTCCTTCTTTCATCCTCAACTTTTGGGTCTAAGGCACTGAGAAAATGTTTTGATCTGTGATAAAGGGAAAAGAAAGAAACAATTAAAAGAAAAGTTTTCCTTATGACTAACAGGACTCGTCGACAGACAAGGATGTGTTTGTCTACACCAAACAAATTATAAACGGAACTAGCTTCAATCATTCACAGTCAAGTCTATAGTTAGTTACTGATTTTTTGTCTGTTTGCACAGGCTAGTAAATCTTTTACTTCAACAATGGTCAAATTACATGGGATTGTCAAAACTTTTTCTCATGAAGAAGTGGTTGCTGCTGTGGAACATTTTGGAAAAACAGAGTCCATTGTACTGTACAGGTCCAAGCTAGAGGTATGTACAGTGGGAGTAATCAGCTGATATGTTTTTGCTATAAAGGTATGTGGTACATGGAGTCACGTGAAAAAGGAAGTACACCCTTTGTCATTTCTAAGGTTTCTAAGGAAGTGTGAGCATATGGACTATTTAGGTGTGTGTTAACACAATGCCAAGGAGGAAAGACATAAGCAATGATCTTAGATAGTCAGTTATTATTATCAGTCAATCTGTATTTTTAGGCTATTTATACCACTATTTGTAGTCCACCATTCTACAGTTAGAAAGATTCTTCACAAGTGGAAAATATTCAAAGGCAATCTTCTCAGGAGTGGACGTTCTAGTAAATTTACCCCACAGTTAGACCGTGCAATAGTAAAAGTCCAGACCTCAACCTGACTGAAATGCTTTAATTGGACCTTATGAAGGTGGTACATATACACTT